AGAATATTATACGTTCACTAAAGGTGCATACGTACGGTGGGACACGACTCTATTTCAAACCGCTTACTCAAAGAGAACGTTCAGTTTTTCGTGTCTCCACTAAATCATATTTTCAGTCAGTGTATCGATTATGGTATTTTCCTCACTGATTTAATGAGTTCACAAGTACCGCAATACAAATGCGTATTTGTTTACCAGAAGTACTTGTGAACTCTTCAAATTAGTGAACACACAGACAGAAAAAACTTAAATAATTCTGTAATTATTTAAGTTTTTTCTATTTGTGTGTTTGATATGGGTCTGTACCCATATCAATTTTACCGTCTTTGTCGAAGATCCTTGAAAGAATTATCAATACTCGACTGGTGAATTACCTTAAACAAAATAGACTTTTATCTGTTCATCAATTTGGTTTTCGCCGGCATCGATCTACAGGTGGTACAGTTCACAATCAGACGGATTTTGTAGTGAGAAATCTTAACATGGGCAATAAATGTATTACAGTATTTTTAGACTTGGCCAAGGCCTTCGTCACTGTGTCAGTCCCAAAGTTATTAAAAAAATGGAAGAGTATGTCAGAGGTGCACAATTGAGCCTTTTTAAGGATTACCTGTCAAACCGTCGTCAATGCGTTAAAGTGGGCGAATACAAAAGTGAAAGTCTTTCTGTAAGCTATGGTGTACCCCAGGGTAGTATACTGGGACCAACATTATTACTGGTATAAATAAACGATATCTTAATGATTAACATTACCCATGGTAACATTATATCTTATGCCGACGACACGGCTCTTACTTTTGCAGCAAAATCCTGGGAAGAAACTTACAATGTTGCTCAAGGTCTTAATAAAGTCACAGCATGGTTACGTGAAAACGTGCTCATTCGTGCCACTCTTATAACAGCTGTAACTGCAGAAATATTGATCACGGAACGACTATAAAGTATTTAGGAGTAATGATCGATGAACATTTAAAATTTAGGGACCATATCAATCTCCTCAGTGGCAGAGTCAGAAAACTTATCTATGTTTTCAAAATTCTTAGACATATTCTTGAACCAAAGCTACTTGAACCAATTTATTATGCTACCTACCAACCTATTATTACATACTGTGTTTCCGTTTAATCCATCCGATCGGGAAGGCCTATGAACCAGCAGTGGTGACATTAATAGGCTGATGATGATGACATTGTTACGGTATCATTGGAGTGGTAGGGCATAGTGAATTTGCCGCTCGAATTGGAACGACCGCCCGGGGAAAGTAACCTTCACCTCGAGATAAAACAAACTACCTTTTGGTGGTCGCGGTGAGTAAGGTTCCAGGACTCCACGGGTTAGGGGATTGGGTCAAGGTAGGCAACGGTGCGAGTGATATTATTGGTATCGCAAGCGTCTAAGGCTAAGGTAACCGCTTACCATAGCGGGCCAGCAGCTTGCTTGCCACCCGTTTAATATAAAAAAAACGACGGGTTGCACTCCGGAAGTGCCGGCAGAAGTGAAAACTTGAATATTAATTTTGTGCATTTTTGATATTTTGGAATGGTTAGGGAATAATTTTGCCCGAATTGCTTTAAATATCCGTATAAAAGTACTATCATGTATGTGGTAGAATACAATATTTATTTATTGCGCTATCGTACACAAACATTCATGACGGCACTACAATACCTTTTTGCAACGTCGTTAAAGATCTAGGCTTGTATATCCACTCGAGTTTTAAATGGCAGGACCAGGTTAGTAGTGTCTGTAAAAAAGTAACGGGAACCCTGCGTGCCCTTTATCGAATGAAAAATTTTTTGCCGGTCAATATCAAGGCAATGCTTGTGCAAACCTTAATATTTCCCATAATCGACTATGGTGATTTGTGCTATTTCGACCTGAATGCAGATCTACTCAACAAAATTGATCGTCTTCAGAATAACTGCATTCGATTCGTTTTCAATCTGAGAAAATATGACTATGATCTCTCTTAAAATGGATGCCCATTAGGCAGCGCAGAACTATGCGGGCTCTGACCACCCTGTTCTCTTTGCTAGATTCTCCAAATGTTCCCCCTTATCTCACTTCTCAATTTCAGTACTTATGTACCTCTCATAGTAAAAATCTTCGATCTTCTTCTAATCGTTTACTTATCGTTCCATCACACTGCTCCGATATTATTCACTCTTACTTCTTCGTAAAAACGATACTTTTGTGGAATGATCTCCCGCTAGATATCAGAATGTCCCCCAGTAAATATACCTTTAAAACCAAACTGCGTAGCTTTTTATTAGAACAGGCGTTTCATTGAGTGGTTTGTCGTCATTATTTTGTATTTATTTTGGAAGTATGTATGTATTTGTGTATTTATTTAAATATATTAACTTATGTATGTGTATGTTTATATATTATTATTTTTATAAACTTTCTTTCCATGTGATTTCCACTTCAGTTGTGCACCCTACCACTAATAATCTCCACAACATCCTATGGTTGACTGGTAGAGAATGCCTACGGCATTAAGTCCGCCATTGTACATTTGTGCATACAGAATAAATAAATAAAATAAATAAACATGACAATTTATGTTACATTAAAAAAGTATATCTCTCAGAAAAATCAACTTACATGAATCACATTTAAGCGCACCTAGATACATCTATTGTAAAAAAATACATTTTTTCTCAATAATATTAACGTGGTAGCCCACGTGGACGTCCTAGATAGAGACTTATTATAATACGATAAAATTAAATATTGTTATAATTTTTATTATTTTTAAAGCATGAAATTGCTTCATGTTTAAATCTAAAGAAAATACCTATAACTAGAAAAAAATCCACGCGGACCAGGCAGCAGACGGAAATAGTACCCGCGCCCTTCGCAATCCGGGCGAATGCACTGACCAATTATGCTACCGTGGCCCTCACGGACCGCGTCGAAAATCTTCTAGCCATTCTTAAGCTGCAAGGCAGCGCCATCTCTTCGCATTATGCAAGATGTTTGTGTTGCATAATGCGAAGAGTGTGTTTTCTAGTTATATTTTCTTTAAATAAAATATTACTATGTTTTGTCCAATATATTGAAAGTCAACAACTTTTCCAATTTTATTATGTGTCATGATGCGATCAGCCCACGTGTTTAACCTGACGCGAGTTTAACATTTTTTACCCATACAAAAAAAAGTGTACAACGCCGCTAAAGAAGTTTTCACTTCAAAATAAAACAATAAAATAAAAATAGTCATCATTAATGGAAATCTAATGCTAAGATTATCAAACTATATATTTTATAACATTTTGTCAACTTTCTCGCAGCTAATGAGCCCTGCCTGTAGCGGTAAAAAAAGGTACTAATTGCTAATCTTTTTCAGACGCATGAAAGTATAGTAAAGTTTTCCGACCTTAAAAGAATTAAATTGAACTCTTAGTTCTACTTTTGATCTTTGATTTATTATTCAAAGCTTCTGTCTAAAGCTTCTTATGGTATGACAAAAAATGTACCTGTCTGCCGCTATTGCGGTATAAATATCGATTGATTTATATTACAAATAAAAATAGGTAAGTTATCCAGCTAATAATACCCACAATAAGTAAACCTGTGCGATTGCGACCTAAATACGTCAAAAGCCAAGTGAGAAACGCTGATTTATGAAAAAAATATTAGCAATTAGTACCGTTTTTTACCGCTACAGGCAGAGCTCCTTAGCGTTGGATTTCTTCAAACCGAAGATTGCGGGCAAAACTACAGGGCACATTTAGATTTTTTATTAGAAAAACACGACACGCTGACGAAAATTAACAAAAGGTTAAAAAAGGCATTTGCAGCTTAATTAAACAGGTTAAATTTTTGGTTAGTATTTTGACATGGATTTAAAATTATTTTAATTTTTAGGGTTCCGTACCTCAAAAGTAAAAAACGGAACCCTTATAGGATCACTTTGTTGTCCGTCCGTCCGTCCGTCCGTCTGTCAAGACCGTTTTCTCAAGAATGCGTGGAGGTATCAAACTGAAATTCATATCTAATACTCAAGTCTACTGTCCCTTGGGGCTGTGAAAAAATCAAACTTCTGAGCCAAAGCAATCAAAAGATACAGCCGTTTATGCCGCAAATTTCCGCAAATTTTCGAAACTCGCACGGGAATGAAAACCTAAAGGGTACTTCCCGTGAACTTAGAATCTTGAAAATTGGTACGAAGTAACGTCTTATAGTAGAGATAAAGGAAAAATTGCGAAAACCGTAAATTTTTAGTGACGTCATATAATAAAAAAATATTTTTTAATAATTAATAAAATATACCTACAGGTTTGTACGGAACCCTCGGTGCGCGAGTCCGACTCGCACCTGGCCGGTTATTCTCAATGCCTTGTATTAGGGCTTTGCAGCTAAAGATTTATTTTATTATTTGTTTCTTAGGTTTTCACGGACACCAATCATTCAATAAAACATGCTTGAACCTGTTCAAAATGCGTCTTTTTGACGTTTCGCACCCTTTTCAGGCTGCGTCGTCAGAATTCTGACGAAACGTAAAAAAGTAATTAAAATACGCATTTTGAACCCGTTTAAGCGTGTTTTATTTATGAAGCTTTATTGAACAAAAATTAGAAAATAATACAAAAGGCTCACTAAATATTCAGTTTTTAGTTGACCTTTAGGAAAAATGATAAACACGAAGGCGTCAATCCTAAACAATGCTAAACCACATAAATTTAATTAAAAAATATTGTTTGTAAACAATTTTGTTGGTCTTCGTACATAGGAATAGGTTTACGAATTTTAATCATTAGAGTACTAGGAAATCGATAGTTTATTTAGTAGGAATTTCGTATTCGATACATGATAATAACCTAAATGTTGAGGTTATAAACTGCTGGTTTCCGGCGATTTAATATAAATACATTCAAGTAGCATTCATACATTGTAGCATGTTATAAATACCTAAAGAGGTCGTCTTAAAAACCAATGCTTGCTAGGTATTGGCTAAGTGTGTTTGGAGACCATGAAGTGGACTGTTGTTTTAGTTATTTCAGGTTTACTAACGAAAGGTGAAGGATACAGAAATGTAACTATAGACTTCGCGTCTCGCCAAGTTAGAGAATTTAAGGCGAAACACCCAGTGAGTATCAATTTTAAACATACATATGTCTACAGAATTACAGCTCGGAAGCCGTCGCTCGAGTACAGGCATTGTTTAGTAACGATGGATTTATTCGTTAAAAAGCAATTGCCATTGATGTATTTCCACTCATTATTTTTTATTAGTGTCATCGTACGATCGTGGCCAACTAAGATCACTTAGGCTCGTATTACAGAATGACAACTAAGTGTTGATCTTTACTTGAGTACAGTTAGAAAGGGATGTCGCTAGCCGTTGGTCCCGGCTGCTTCTGCAGTCGTTAGCAACCGCCAATCCGCATGGCCCGACCTCCCTATTCCACCCATAGTGAAGGCCTGTGGCTCAGCAGTGGGTATATTAATAAGCCGATGACAATGAAATAAACATTATGTTCAATTGATAAATACTTCTTGTTTTTTATTTTATTTGTTTATTAGTAAGGTGCTTATTATATGTGAGGAGCTGGCGAACAAAATGGTTTAATTACATAAAATTAAATTTTACAGGGTCTGTATAAAACTGAATGACATACCTATAGTGTGGTTTTGGCAATTTTTTTAATTTATAAATTTAGTAATTTTAACTCTCTTTTTGGTGGTTTTGATTGAAAATCATTTCAGATTCAAGATTCAAGAGGCCCAAAACCTTCGGACTGTAAAAAAGTAGTTATTTTATAGATAGGTGCGACAATTGACTCCACCCCACCTGATGTTAAGTGAAGGTGAAGTTCAGACGCGAAGATAGTTGATACAGCAGTTCCATCAGCCATCGTCACCCTGCCGGCCTGCATGTTGCTTCTTCACGCCTCTTTTAAAGGATCCCAGGTTGTAAGAGGGTAGAGTAGTTTGACCAGATGCGTAGTTATACCGTTTTGTTCGCCAGCTTCTCATGTTTAATATTTCAAATACCAACAAAATACCAACTAATAAAATAGGCTTTATTGAAAAAAAAAACCATGTGTTAATCTTTTACAGTTGCCTATTGGCGTCTTAACCACCACAACCGGAAAATCTGTTGATGTAAGGAATACTGTCAGTGAGAATTCGGATGTATTTGTGAACGACTACTTTTTAGACAACCAGTTTCATGTGGACTCTGAACGGATCCCAGAGAGAGTTGTTCATGCTCAAGGAAGCGGTGCTTTTGGATACTTTATTGTTACACACGATGTGTCCCAATATACAAGCGCAGATGTATTCAATAGAATTGGGAAGAAAACTCCAGTTTTCGGTAGATTTTCTACAGCTGTATCAAACAAAGGTACCCCAGAACTCGCAAGAGACAGTAAAGCATTGTCTGTAAAGATGTATACAAATGAAGGCAACTTAGATTTTCTCTGTTCAAGTCTTCCTGTATACGATTATCGTGATCCTAATGACTTCACTCACATCGTTCACGCTGGGCGCCAAAACCCTAAAACAAATCTTTTTGATTTAACAACGCTCTGGGACTTCATTACCCTAAAGCCAACAATACTTTTTCCTAGTCTTTGGAGATTCTCCGATTATGGTTTACCTTATGGCTATAGAAAAATGGATATATTTCCTATTCATGCATACGAGCTGAACAACAAGCAAGGAGAACGATATTTAGCCAAATTCAATCTGCGTACAGAACAAGGCTTGGATAATCTTACTACCGCTGAGGCTCAAGCGTTATCAAGTCAAGATCCTTATTACTTTACCAGGGATTTATACAATGCCATTGCTAATAAAAATTATCCATCTTGGAGATTGGATATGGATATAATGACTCTTGAACAAGCCTCAAAAGTAGACTATAATCCATTTGATGTTAACAGACTATGGAAGAGGGGGACATATAAAACGGTAGTTGTGGGACGATATGTTTTCGATAGAAATCCAGATAATTCTTTCAGAGACACAGAACAGAGCGCATTTAATCCTGCTCATTTAGTTCCAGGTATACCTGGACCAGCTGACCTAATGTTTAAGTCTCGAAGGTTATCTTACCGCCATGCACATGAAAATCGTTTAGGAAGTAATTCTGAGAATATAAGAATAAACTTACCAGTATACAGAAAAACTTATACCCGTGATGGCTCACCTCCAGTAAAAGACAACATGAATGATGTACCAAATTATTATCCAAATTCATTTAGCGGGCCAGTACCCACTGTAGATAACAGACACCCTAGTGAGAAATTAATAGTACTCGATAAGACTTCTGTGGATTTGGAGCCCATGGCAGACTTCTATAATCACATTATAGAAAATGATGCTCATAGACAAAGAATAGCTGACAACGCTGCTGCCTCTCTAGTTACGGTTGATGAAAAAATTGTGGATAGGGCATTGAAGTTATTAGATCTCGTGGACACAGATCTAGGTAAAAGAGTAACACAGAGTTACAATGAACAGAAAAAAAGAGCCGACGCTGCTGCAAAATTAGATGCTAGAACGAGAGTTCAACCGATTGCTCAGTGTATAAGTGCAGTTCAGGAAGGATTTTTGACGCCTCCTAAACGCAAAAACTGTTAGAAAAGAGTTAAATAACGAATTTTCAAAGGTAATCTAGTTGTCGTTTGAACTCCTAATTCAAATGTTTGCATCAAAAGTGTCTAGCGATCAAATAGACGCCGCCATTAAACGGGTTTCATTTTCTAAAAACACCATATACCGTAAATAATAAGTTTTAATTTTACGATGTGTAGGGATATCAAATCAATTTATGGATAGGAATGGAAAACCAATCTGAAATGAATATTCAATAATTTTCATTGCTATAAATTACTCGCTCCCTAGACATTTATGATGTGTATAGTTATACTGATTTGCTAACTTACGAATGGAATAATAAACATTATCTCTATCTTTTTGCTTGTGGAACATCTGTAGATGTAGGAAGCTGCTTAGGTTTGGTGTGCTATATATTAATGTCTTTGTTGTGAAGTAAGTAGAATCGTTTAATAAGTAAATCGAATTGATTTTAATTACAATAAAACAAATTATAAATATGAATATTTCTTTAATTTTTAACAATAAACTCTAGACAGGAGGTATTTTATCACTTAAATTTACTATTCACTAATAAATTTGCCACATACATTCAATGAAATATGAACAATATATTACTATGGATTAACGAAAAAGCTGGGATAAATCTTAAACATTTCTAATTTACATTTAGTATAGTTTAAGCGTTTTGCTATAAAGTGTAATATTACAAGACAAGAATCTGGTATATCTGTTTTTATTATTTCTAAAGTTTGAAACATTAAACAGTATTCATCCAAATTTGAAAGTATATGTATAGGAATGATCAAATAACTTAAAATATCACAATAGTGTTTACACTAAATCAGTCAACGTTGAAAATTATTTTTGTAAAATTTAAGCTACTTAAAAATGGAAAATATTTAAATGATTCTCAAAAAATACGTAAATGATAACCTTAAAATGTATTTGTTAGCCTAAAGGTTAGGTTACCAGTTGTTTTTTTTTGATGATGATTGAATTACTAATTTTTTGATAATCATTCGAATATGTGCCCTTAAAAATATATATTTGTTGTAATATAATGAAATCAGTTACAAAAATGACTAGAATTGAAATCAAAAGTTTAAGGTCTACTTATAATTCTAATCGAATTTGTGTAAACTAAAAATAACCTAAGGGATTTATACTGATCGTTTAAATAAAATTTTAGGTAAAATTTTGATTGAAACTAGTCTTTTGATATTAGAATGAATCAGATAATATTTTGAGCCTAGTATTTAAAAATAACCTTGTTATAGAATGAAATTTGATGGCGAAATATTATCTGCCAAATGAAATCATTTAGTAAAGCGATATTTATTGAAAGATCTTAAGTTTATGGATGATGTCTTGGTAGTGGCCAGTCATTGAAATGATTTTGACTGCAGAGGCGATCGCTTCTAATATCTTGGAGATGGTGATAGTAGTTTTATATATTCGCCTCATTGAACCAAATACTGGTTTGATTCCTACTGGGCGTCTCGTCGCCTCCTGCCTGGCCCGAAGGCGGAGTTAGCAGCGGCGACTCACAGCATGTGCTTGGTTTGAAGTGCACCGGAGTAACCACGGCTGAGGCCAAGATCCAATGCCCGTTTCTCGCTGCAAAATAATAATTTAGTAAGAATATTTAATGCAGTTTACTGCAAACATCTGCGAAGATAAGTAGTATAATGGTGGTAGTTCCGGAATGATAAAAAAGTAAAATCAGTTTTGTCGTCTATAACGTAAAGTTGATATTAACCACTACATAAAAAGTTGTTTTGCATTAACTTCTACAGTCAAAACCGATAGGTCTAATTTTTTTTTAATTTTTGGCTTTTGATGTTCCTTATGTCACGTGCTATGCGATGACTATTGCATAATGCTTCTCCCACACCTACGTGACGAAGCTTCGGGAGACTTTGGTACTAAATGCGCAAAAAATTGAATTAGTTCTGTTGTAATGATTTATTGGGCTGCGTGGCTATAGAAGTTAGGCGATAGCTTGTGTAAATATGTCTATTGACTAACGTTCAAACTATCTTTCATCTTGATTTGCATTCTGTTCAAATACATTTCACCTAAATAAATAAATATAAAAAGCAACGTTACTTTTAATACGTTTTAAGTAAATTTGAAGATGATGATTATCAAATAATTACTAACTGCATGCAACAAGGGGTTACAAAATATTAAAAAGTGTAGTTTGAAATGCATAAGGTTTGCCTAAAGATACTCAGTAACACTGGCTACTAATTACGTATAATTAAAAAAAAAAGAATGCAGCATGCACATAATAAAACAGCTGTTATTTAGGTAATTAAGTAGCTTCTCGATTTCTACTAAGTACGATGATCTGGACGTACCTAGTAATGTCATCTTTAAATCTGAAAAGAGATAAAAATAGTTAAGGTTTGTTTTGTTTTAAAGACATTCAATTAAGTAAAGAAGAAGCAACAATTAATAAAGAATATAGATTTTTTAAGGAACAAAGTATATAAGTAACATAGATGCAACTTTGATTGTCAAAATCAAGTGAGAAAGTGAAAATAAAGTTTTAAAGGGTACGGTTTATTATAAGTACTTATTCTTAATGCATAAAGGATGTATATTATAGTTAACACATAAAGTAAAGTGGAACGTGAAATTATTTTTTATGAAAGATAAGAAAAATAAATAACATGAAGAAATACTTTATTCCATTGAATTCAATAAAAATATCGATTGCATGATTGGGAAATTTTTCCGGTGCGTTTCCTCATTCCGCAATTATTTTTTTGATTCACACGTTCACTCGATTTCAAGAGTTTAATGATGATTGCAAGTTGCAAACTCACTTTTCCATTTTGCGTTCAATTTGTAGCAGGTTCCCAAGGCGGTTCAGCATGTCCATGATTTCTTCGGGCTCATAGGGACCATCTTCGCGGTAGTATTTGTTAAGACTAAACATAAGAAATTTACAAATAACGTTTTTAATTCGAATGATTGATAAATAATAGTCGGTACTAAATTAACCATTCATAAGGGCACAATAAAAATAAAAGTTTCGATTTATATTGTAGAAATTGAAGTCCTCCATGCACCCTATCCATCTTGCTGGATGAAGCATGCTGGGCAGCGCTATACACGTAAAAGAGATACTGGTGTCGATGCTGGCATGATTCGCTAAACCTAAACTTAAATTTGATAACAGTGTATCATTGTCATTCTCTATACTGTATGAAAAGGAGAGACTGATGTTAAATGTGTTAGAAGTTTTAATTTTAGAGAATTATGCCAGAATCGACACCATTGTATCTCCATCTCTTTTACTGGTACAGTGCGTAGAGGCCTTAAACATTGACACTATTTATGTTAAATAAATGCTACAGTGAAGTTATTCGAAGTACAAGGCTGTGAATTTAAGTGAGAAATTTTTCCCATCTTTGGAAAGCACGTAAAGACATTGGACACGGCTGCAGTTTTTATGCCTTCTGGGCATTTGTATCTAGTTGTGACATTTTTGTTAGCCCACAAGGTTTTTTTGATTATAAGATTGCCTTTGATTATAGGATATATTTTGTAATTGTAAAATTTAAGATATCAAATAGCCTCATATAGATCAATAGCCAGCCTCGCATCAAATTACAATAAAAAAGGGGGATAAGTTTTGCGAAGGTCCACTTGCAGCAAATTAGCTGAATCTAAAGGACAATGAGCAAAAATGTATGGATGCTGCACCCACGTCTGCCACAGCTTAAACTACATTTGTTTGAAAGGTATTATAGTCATGATCATCTGTGCCAAAGCGCATCAAATTCCATCTCGGGAGTCCTTAGTTATTTTAAATTAAATAGGTACAAGTACTATAACGAACGAACAATAATGAAACAAGGGAATTAATTTAGTTAGTTAGTTCGACCCTACCTACACAGGGGGCTCAGGTATTATGGGAGTACTTCAAAGGGTGCAATAGCATAAGGACACCCATGCTATTCTGCCGCGCTAGAGTAAATCCTAAAATCCCCGCATGGGTTGGGGTTTTCAAACATTTTGTTCGTTATAGTAAATTGTCTTCTATGTAAAACGGAGCGACAACAAATCACACAAACTTGTCCACGCTTCGGAGAAAACATGATCCATACTAATTGGCAAAACCGATAATCGTGTTCCAATGTCCAAAGCGTGTTAGATAAAAATCAATCAAGTGACAGGACAGGACAGACAGTAAGACGAGTCGACTATTTGCAACTGCAAGTCCTTCAACCCCCGTAAACCGTTTTTAAGGCGTCTCAGTAAGTGCAAGCGCAGGATGGTCGGCAGGCTTTGTCGTATATCTGGTTGTATAGTACGATGTGGCATATTATTATGGTTACTAATAATATAAAATTAAGTTACTATAAAATGAATTTATTTAGCTTCTTAAATATGCCCATGTGTCATATATTTTGAGTACCAGGATATTTTTTACGATGTCATTATAAAAAAGGCTAGTTCTTCATAGATCTATCGATTCATACATTGTTGGCGGAGCTGGGTTTTGTTTTGCCCATTATCCTTTAATTCATATATGATTTAGCAAAATTGCTACAAGTGGATCTGAGTGAAGAAGAAAGTAAAGAAGTAAAGAAAAGTATTACTAGAAAAAAATCCACGCGGACCAGGCAGCGGACGGGACTCGAACCTGCACCCTTCACAATCCGGGCGAATGCACTGACCAATTATGCTACCACGGCCCTGATGGCCGCATCGAAATTTTCCTAGCCTTAAGCTGCAAGGCAGCGCCATCTCTTCGCATTGTAGGTAACCCACAATGTCTACCAAAAATGTTAATTAAAAACCTATAAAAATAACTTCAAATTAGGATGCATTACCAATTCGATTACAAATATTGTCAATAAAATCTAAAATTCAGAATACATTGCTCAAAATAAATAAAAATATATTCCACTAAAAAGTCAATAATTTTATTTAAAGCACAACACTTTTAAAGTTACTTTCGTAAATTCGCCAATCGAACAGGTGAATAAATCGATGGACTCGGCAACTACACACATCAAAAGTGTCTAGGGATCAAGCATTTTTATGCGGATTTCTTGAGATTGAGATGTGGCTTTGTAATAAATTTATGATTTTATAAATTTATATGGATCCTTTTTGGTGCATTTCATAATTTGAATCAGGAACTGTGAATCAAATTCGAGTAAAAGATGAAAATCAGCTGTCAATATTTTCCCTATAAAAACATACAACGCATTGAAGACATTATTAGTGCTACTGTTTCCCTACTACTGATTAAAACCAACGTTATTATGGAGCGGCGACGTCATTTAAGCAGGGAAGAAATGCTCAGAGCCGTGGGAATGATAGAAGCTGGTTCCCGGCAACGTACTGTGGCTTTAGCTCTGAATACAAGTCAGAGTGTTATCAGTCGACTTTGGACACGATACCGAAGCACTGGTACCGTGGCTGAGCGCCATGGAGGACGGTATCGCTGCACCACACGGAGACAAGACCGATACATTCAAATCTTAACTCGAAGAGCTCCAACAATAACCGCCATGATGTTAGCCGTGAGGCTTCATCACTCTTCAGGGAACTTAATTAGCGACCAAACAGTCAGAAACCGCTTGCATGAAGTGAACCTTCATTCCCGAAGACCGCTACGGGTACCACCTATAGCAATGCACAATCGTAGGATTCGATATCAATGGGCTCTTGAACACAGAAATTGGGCAGAAGAACAATGGCGTTTCGTGTGCTTTTCTGATGAGTCTCGTTTTGGTATGAGACCGGATACAAGACGTATACGACACTGGAGAACCCCTGGACGCCAACAGCGATTAAAATCCTGCCAGGAAGTCCATCCTTATAGTGGTGGAACCATCATGGTATGGGCGGGTATTTGGATCGGCGGAAGAACTGAGTTGATTTGGATCAGAGGCAACCTCAACGCTCAAATTTATGCTGAGACGATTGTATCAGACGTCATCGTTCCTCTACAAGTGCAAATCGGTCCCGTATTTCAGTTAATGCATGATAATGCACGACCGCACACCGCAAGAGTTGTAAGACAGACTCTCGCCGCAGCTAACATCAATGTCCTGCCCTGGCCTGCTCAGTCGCCAGACTTGAACCCGATTGAGCATGCATGGGATATGCTACAGAGAAGAGCTCTGCCGAATATGGAGGGTATCCAGTCGCAAGAAGACCTTTTTTTGTTGTTGCAACGAACATGGGTGGCCATTCCACAGCGTGATTTGGATGAACTCATTTTGAGTATGCCAAACCGATGTTCTTGTGTTGTTAGTGTTCGCGGTAGAAATACGGATTATTAATTGTTTAAGTTACCCAATAAAATTTTAGAGAAAACTGTTATTTCAGTCTTTTTTTCGAACTTTTGTGTTAGTGGTTCAAATGTCAAAAATCCCTTTATTAGGAAAATGGCAAATTTCTTTATTAATGCAAAGGTGACTTGGTTTATCGTTACTGTGACAAACGAAAACACTTTATTTGATGAATCCTTAAAGAAAATTTTAATTAATATCAATCAGGAGAAAAGTTATTGCAAAAATATATGTTGATCCCTAGACACTTTTGATGTGTGTACATTGACGTGTGAATTGTTCGATTCATGTTGACGTGTGCGAGCGCGCGGCACCGCAGGCACGCATAAATTTAGCAATCCTAATATATTTGGGTTGCAGATAATGCCTCGCAACACCCTGACTATGTAATAAGCAAGTGCTAATTCCCTCCTTGTCTCCAACTTGCTGCAACCGACCATGCCCAATACGAACAAGGTTGGGTTCATCAACGGATAGAAAGGGTACACTCCGTATAACTTTAGGTATAAGTACCGCGTGTATTTATTTTGTATGCGCTCCATCATTTGCCTATACTTTGTTTCGTCTGGAGCCCATACTATCACGTTGAATTCGAGCTGACTTCGTATATGCGCATTATACAGGGCCGCAGTCGCTTTCATATTCGTAAAACCTACTGAATGACACAAAACAAAACCCGCACTGGGCCTGCGTGGTGGGTCATGGCCCAATCTCCCTAATCCATCCATAGGGAAGGCCTATGCCCCAGCAGTGGTGATATTAATAGGCTGATGATGATATCGTTACTGTGTCATTGAGTGGTAGGGCATAGTAGATTTGCCGCTCGAATTGGAACGACCGCCTGGGGAAAGTAACCTTCACCTCGAGACAAAACAAACTACCTTTTGGTGGTCGCGGTGAGTAAGGTACCAGGTCTCCACGGGTTAGGGGATTGGGTCAAGGTAGGCAAAGGTGCGAGTGATATTATTGGTACGCTTGTGCGTCTAAGGCTATGGTGACCGCTTACCATAGCGGGCCAGAAGCATGCTTGCCACCCGTTTAACATAAAAAAAACGACAGGTTGCACTCCGGAAGTGCCGGCAGAAGTGAAAACTTGAATATTAATGTTGTGCATTTTTGATATTTTGGAATGGTTAGGGAATAATTTTGCACGAATTGCTTTATCATTATCAGTATAAAAGTACTATCATGTATGTGGTAGAATACAATATTTATTTATTGCGCTATCGTACTCAAACATGGCAATTTATATTACATTAAAAAAGTTTATCTCTCAGAAAAATCAACTTACATGAATCACTTTTAAGCGCACTTAGCGACATCTATTGTAAAAAAATACATTATTTCGCAATAAAGCTGCCACGTGGACGACCTAGATAGAGACTTATTATAATACGATAAAATAAAATATTACTATGTTTCGTCCAATATAGTGAAAGTCAACAACTTTTCTAATTTTTGTGTGTCGAGATGCGATCAACCCACGTGTTTTACCTGACGCGATTTTAATATTTTCTACCCATACAAAAAAAGTGTACAACACCGCTAAAGAAGTTTTCACTTCAAAATAAAACAATAAATAAAAATATTCATCATTAGTGGGAATCTAATGCTAAGATTATCTAACTATATATTTTATAACATTTTGTCAACTTTCTCGCAGCTAATGAGCTCTGCCTGTAGCGGTAAAAAAAGGTACTAATTGCTAATCTTTTTCAGACGCATGAAAGTACAATAAAGTTTTCCGACCTTCAAAGAATTAAATTGAACTCTTAGTTCTACTTTTGATCTTTGATTTATTATTCAAAGCTTATGTCTTAAGCTTCTTATGGTATGACAAAAAATGTGCCTGTCTGCCGCTATTGCGGTATAAACTTTGATTGATTTATATTACAAATAAAAATAGGTAAGTTTTCCAGCTATAAGTAAACCCACAATAAGTAAACCTGTGCGATTGCGACCTAAATACGTCAAAAGCCAACATGAGAAACGCTGATTTATGAAAAAAATATTAGCAATTAGTACCGTTTTTTACCGCTACAGGCAGAGCTCCTTAGCGTTGGATTTCCTAAAACGAAGATTGCGGGCAAAACTACAGGGCACATTTAGATTTTTTAATAGAAAAACACGACACGCTGACTAGCCTAATTAAACAGGTTAAAGTTTTTGTTAGTATTTTGGCATGGATTTAAAATTATTTTAATTTTTAGGGTTTTTTACCTCAAAAGTAAAAAACGGAACCCTTATACCTATATGATCTCTTTGTTTTCCGTCCGTCTGTCAAGACCGTTTTTCTCAGGAACGCATGGAGGCATCAAACTGAAATCCATATCTAATACTCAGGTCTACTGTCCCTTAGAGCTGTGAAAAAATCTTACTTCTGAGCCAAAGCAATCAAAAGATACACTCGTTTATGCCGCAAATTTCCGCAAATTTTCGAACCTCGCACGGGAATCAAAACCTCCAGGGTACTTCCCGTGAACTTAGAATTTTGAAATTTGGTACGAAGTAACGTCTTATAGTAGAGATATAGGAAAAAATGCGAAAACCGTAAATTTTTAGTTACATCATTTATAATAAAAAGTATTTTTTAATCATTATTAAAACATATCTACAGGTATGTGGGTATGGTACCGAAGGTTCCGTACATACCTGTAGGTATGTTTTAATAATGATTTTAAACATACCTACAGGTATGTATATGTACGGAACCTTCGGTGCGCGAGTCCGACTCGCACTTGGCCGGTTATTCTCAGTGCCTTGTATTAGGGTTTTGCAGCTATAGATTTACTTTATTATTTTTTTCTAAGGTTTTCACCGGACACCAATCATTCAATAAAACACGCTTGAACCTGTTCAAAATGCGTCTTTTTATTACTTTTGGACGTTTCGCTCCCTTTTCAGGCTGCGTCGTCACAATTCTTATATTAATTAAAATACGCATTTTGAAACCGTTTAAGCGTGTTTTATTTATGAAACTTTATGGAACAAAAATTATAAAATAATATAAAAGGCTCACTAAATATTCAGTTTTTTGTTGACTTTTAGAAAAAATAATAAACACGTAGGCGTCAATCCTAAACAATGCTAAACCACATAAATTTAATTAAAAAATATTGTTTCTCGGTGGTCTTTGTACATAGGAATGCGTGTACGAATTTTAATCATTAGTGTAGTAGGAAATCGATAGTTTATTTAGTAGGAATTTCGTATTCGATACATGATAATAACATAAATATTGAGGTAATAAACTGCTGGTTTCCGGCGATTTAATATAAATACATTCAAGTAGCATAATATAAATACCTAAAAAGGTCGTTTTAAATAACAATCCATGCTAGGTATTGGCTAAGTGTGTTTGGAGACAATGAAGTGGACTGTTGTTTTAGTTATTTCAGGATTACTAACGAAAGGTGAAGGATACAGAAATGTAACTATAGACTTCGCGTCTCGACATGTTACAGACTTTAAGGCGAAACACCCAGTGAGTATCAATTTTGAACATACATATGTCTACAGAATTACAGTTCGGAAGCCGTCGCTCGAGTACAAGCATTGTTTATTAATGATGGATTTATTCGTTAAAAAGCAATTGCCATTGAGATATTTCCACGCATTATTTTCATCGCACGACGAGATCGCAACGTGTCACCGTACGATCGTGGCCAACTAAGATCACTTAGAAACTCAACCAATACCAAAACTGGGGCGTTGAGGTGTGATTATATTATTGTTGTTTCTTTTATTCTTAAGCTGCTTGTTCTTCTTGCAGAAAAGGCATCAATAATTATAAAAATAATATTATGTTAATGAATGTTCTATTAAAAGTTTCGATAAGTATAATTCTTAAGCATTTCGGTTAAATTATTGAAAAAGTTGATTGAAACTATGTTTGATCTCACCTCTATGTGCTATTATTCTGTTTAAAAGTTTATGCTTCAAGTAAATAAATATTTAGGAGTATCTGTATCGGCTGCGATCGTAGAAGTTAAGCAATTTTTTCAGTGGTCGGTTATTGGATGGACCATAAATTACTACCTCGAGCTCCTCATGCTTTGAAAGGTAAGTTAAGCCATTGGTCCCGGCTGCATCTGCAGTCGTTAGCAACCGCCATTCCGCATGGCCCGACCTCCCTATTCCACCCATAGTGAAGGCCTGTGGCTCAGCAGTGGGTATATTAATAAGCCGATGATGATGAAATAAACAATATTTTTAATTAATTAATCCCTAATTTATTTGTGAGGTGTAATATTTGTTAAATATTATATGCTCCTCAGCTGGCGAACAAAACGGTTTAATTACATAGAATTAAATTTTACAGGGGTTGTATAAAACTGAATGACATACCTATAGTGCGGTTTTGCAATTTTTTTAGTTTATAAATTTAGTAATTTTAACTTTATTTTTGGTGGTTTTGATTGAAAATTATTTCAGATTCAAGAGGCAAAACCTTCGGACTATAAAAACTAGTTTTTTTTATAGATAGGTCCGACGATTGACTCCACCCCACCTGATGTTAAATGAAGGTGAAGTCCAGACGCGAAGATAGCTAATACAGAAGTTTCATCAGCCATCCTCACCCTGCCGGCCTGCATGTTGCTTCCTCACGCCTCTTTTATAGGATCCCAGGTTGTAAGAGGGTAGAGTAGTTTGACCAGATGCGTAATTATACCGTTTTGTTCGCCAGCTTCACATGTTTAATATTTCAAATACCAACAAATAAAATAGGCTTTATTGAAAAAGAAACATGTGTTAATCTTTTACAGTTGCCTATTGGCGTCTTAACCACCACAACCGGAAAATCTGTTGATGTAAGGAATACTGTCAGTGAGAATTCGGATGTATTTGTGAACGACTACTTTTTAGACAACCAGTTTCATGTGGACTCTGAACGGATCCCAGAGAGAGTTGTTCATGCTCAAGGAAGCGGTGCTTTTGGATACTTTATTGTTACACACGATGTGTCCCAATATACAAGCGCAGATGTATTCAATGGAATTGGGAAGAAAACTCCAGTTTTCGGTAGATTTTCTACAGCTGTATCAAATAAAGGTAGCCCAGAAATCGAAAGAGACAATAAAGGATTATCTGTAAAGATGTATACAAATGAAGGCAACTTAGATTTTCTCTGCATAAGTATTCCTGTATACGAATATCGTGATCCTAATGACTTCACTCACTTGGTTCACGCTGTGCGCCGAAACCCTAAAACAAATCTTTTTGATTTTACAATGATCTGGGACTTCATTACCCTAAAGCCAACAACACTTCTTCCTAACCTTTGGAGATTCTCCGATTATGGTTTACCTTATGGCTATAGAAAAATGGATATATTTCCTGTTCATGCATACGAGCTGAACAACAAGCAAGGAGAACGATATTTAGCCAAATTCAATCTACGTACAGAACAAGGCTTGGATAATCTTACTACCGCTGAGGGTCGTGCGTTATCAATTCAAGATCCTTATTACTTTACCAGGGACTTATACAATGCCATTGCTAATAAAAATTATCCATCTTGGAGATTAGAAATGGATATAATGACTCTTGAACAAGCCTCAAAAGTAGACTATAATCCATTTGATGTTAACAGACTATGGAAGAGGGGGACGTATAAAACGGTCGTTGTGGGACGATATGTTTTCGATAGAAATCCAGATAATTCTTTCAGAGACACAGAACAGAGCGCATTTAATCCTGCTCATTTAGTTCCAGGTATACCTGGACCAGCTGACCTAATGTTTAAGTCTCGAAGGTTATCTTACCGCCATGCACATGAAAATCGTTTAGGAAGTAATAATGAGAATATAAGAATAAACTTACCAGTATACAGAAAAACTTATACCCGTGATGGCTCACCTCCAGTAAAAGACAACATGAATGATGTACCAAATTATTATCCAAATTCATTTAGCGGGCCAGCACCCACTGTAGATAACAGACACCCTAGTGAGAAATTAATAGTACTCGATAAGACTTCTGTGGATTTGGAGCCCATGGCAGACTTCTATAATCACATTATAGAAAATGATGCTCATAGACAAAGAATAGCTGACAACGCTGCTGCCTCTCTAGTTACGGTTGATGAAAAAATTGTGGATAGGGCATTGAAGTTATTAGATCTCGTGGACACAGATCTAGGTAAAAGAGTAACACAGAGTTACAATGAACAGAAAAAAAGAGCCGACGCTGCTGCAAAATTAGATGCTAGAACGAGAGTTCAACCGATTGCTCAGTGTATAAGTGCAGTTCAGGAAGGATTTTTGACGCCTCCTAAACGCAAAAACTGTTAGAAAAGAGTTAAATAACGAATTTTCAAAGGTAATCTAGTTGTCGTTTGAACTCCTAATTCAAATGTTTGCATCAAAAGTGTCTAGCGATCAAATAGACGCCGCCATTAAACGGGTTTCATTTTCTAAAAACACCATATACCGTAAATAATAAGTTTTAATTTTACGATGTGTAGGGATATCAAATCAATTTATGGATAGGAATGGAAAACCAATCTGAAATGAATATTCAATAATTTTCATTGCTATAAATTACTCGCTCCCTAGACATTTATGATGTGTATAGTTATACTGATTTGCTAACTTACGAATGGAATAATAAACATTATCTCTATCTTTTTGCTTGTGGAACATCTGTAGATGTAGGAAGCTGCTTAGGTTTGGTGTGCTATATATTAATGTCTTTGTTGTGAAGTAAGTAGAATCGTTTAATAAGTAAATCGAATTGATTTTAATTACAATAAAACAAATTATAAATATGAATATTTCTTTAATTTTTAACAATAAACTCTAGACAGGAGGTATTTTATCACTTAAATTTACTATTCACTAATAAATTTGCCACATACATTCAATGAAATATGAACAATATATTACTATGGATTAACGAAAAAGCTGGGATAAATCTTAAACATTTCTAATTTACATTTAGTATAGTTTAAGCGTTTTGCTATAAAGTGTAATATTACAAGACAAGAATCTGGTATATCTGTTTTTATTATTTCTAAAGTTTGAAACATTAAACAGTACTCATCCAAATTTGAAAGTATATGTATAGGAATGATCAAATAACTTAAAATATCACAATAGTGTTTACACTAAATCAGTCAACGTTGAAAATTATTTTTGTAAAATTTAAGCTACTTAAAAATGGAAAATATTTAAATGATTCTCAAAAAATACGTAAATGATAACCTTAAAATGTATTTGTTAGCCTAAAGGTTAGGTTACCAGTTGTTTTTTTTTGATGATGATTGAATTACTAATTTTTTGATAATCATTCGAATATGTGCCCTTAAAAATATATATTTGTTGTAATATAATGAAATCAGTTACAAAAATGACTAGAATTGAAATCAAAAGTTTAAGGTCTACTTATAATTCTAATCGAATTTGTGTAAACTAAAAATAACCTAAGGGATTTATACTGATCGTTTAAATAAAATTTTAGGTAAAATTTTGATTGAAACTAGTCTTTTGATATTAGAATGAATCAGATAATATTTTGAGCCTAGTATTTAAAAATAACCTTGTTATAGAATGAAATTTGATGGCGAAATATTATCTGCCAAATGAAATCATTTAGTAAAGCGATATTTATTGAAAGATCTTAAGTTTATGGATGATGTCTTGGTAGTGGCCAGTCATTGAAATGATTTTGACTGCAGAGGCGATCGCTTCTAATATCTTGGAGATGGTGATAGTAGTTTTATATATTCGCCTCATTGAACCAAATACTGGTTTGATTCCTACTGGGCGTCTCGCCGCCTCCTGCCTGGCCCGAAGGCGGAGTTAGCAGCGGCGACTCCCAGCATGTGCTTGGCTTGAAGTGCACCGGAGTAACCACGGCTGAGGCCAAGATCCAATGCCCGTTTCTCGCTGCAAAATAATAATTTAGTAAGAATATTTAATGCAGTTTACTGCAAACATCTGCGAAGATAAGTAGTATTGTGGCGGTAGTTGAGGTATAATAAAAAAGTAAAATCAGTTTTGTCGCTTGTATCGTAAAGTTGATATTAAGCACTATATACAAGGTTGTTTTGCATAAACTCCTGCAGTCAAAACCGATAGGACTTTTGATGTTCCTGCTGTCACGTGCTATGCGATAATGCTATTGCATAATGCTTCTCTTACACCAACGTGACGAAGCTTCGGGAGACTTTGGTACTAAATGCGCTAAAATTTGAATTAGTTCTGTTGTAATAATTTATTGGGCTGCGTGGCTATAAAAGTTAGGCGATAGATTGTGTAAATATGTCTATTGACTAACGTTCAAACTATCTTTCATCTTGATTTGCATTCTGTTCAAATACATTTCACCTAAATGAAGAAATATAAAAAGCAACGTTACTTTTAATACGTTTTAAGTAAAATTCAAGATGATGATTATCAAAAAATTACTAACTGCATGCAACAAGGGGTTACAAAATATTAAAAAGTGTCGTTTGAAATGCATAAGGTTTGCCTAAAGATACTCAGTGAGAGTGGCTACTAATTAAGTTTAATGAAAAAAAAAGGAATGCAGCATGCACATACTAAAACAGCTGTTATGAAGGTAATTAAGTAGCTTCTCGATTTCTACTAAGTACGATGTTCTGGACGTACCTAGTAATGTCATCTTTAAAGCTGAAAAGAGATAAAAATAGTTTAGGTTTGTTTTGTTTTAAAGACATTCAATTAAGTAAAGGAGAAGAAACAATTAATAAAAAATATAGATTTTTTTAAAGGAACAAAGTGTATAAGTGACATAGATGCAACTTTGATTGCCAAAATCAAGTGAGAAAGTGAAAATAATGATTTTTCAGTTATGAGGTCATTTTATTATAAGTACTGGTGGGTGCGGTTTATTATAAGTACTTATTCTTAATGCATAAAGGATGAATTAAAATTATAGTTAATGAATAAAGTAAAGTGGAACGTGAAATATATTTTTTTCTGAAAGATAAGTAAATAACACGAAGAAATACTTTATTCCATTGAATTCAATAAAAATATCGATTGCTTGATTAGGAATTTTTTCCGGTGCGTTTCCCCATTCCAAAATTATTTTTTTGGTTCACACTTTCACTCGACTTCAAGAGTTTAATGATGGCAACTTGCAGCAAACTCACTTTTCCATTTTGCGTTCAATTTGTAGCAGGTTCCCAAGGCGGTTCAGCATGTCCATGATTTCTTCGGGCTCATAGGGACCTTCTTCGCGGTAGTAGTTGTTAAGACTAAACAAAAGAAATTTACAGATAACGTTTCTTATTCGAATGATTGATAAAAATATAGTAAAAAATATAATAGTCAGTATTAAATTAACTATTCATATGGGCACAATAAAAATAAAAGTTTCGATTTATATTGTAGAAATTGAAGTCCTCCATGCATGCTATCCATATTACTGGATGCAACATGCTGGACAACGCTATACACGTAAAAGAAATACTGGTGTCGATGCTGGCATGATTCTCTAAACCTAAACTTAAATTTGATAACAGTGTATCTTTGTCATTCTCTATACTGTATGAAAAGGAGAGACTGATGTTAAATGTGTTAGAAGTTTTAAGTTTAGAGAATCATGCCAGAATCTACACCATTGTATCTCCATCTCTTTTACTGGTACAGTGCGTAGAGGCCTTAACATTGACACTATTTATGTTAAATAAATGCTACAGTGAAGTTATTCGAAGTACAAGGCTGTGAATTTAAGTGAGAGATTTTTCCCATCTTTGGAAAGCACGTAAAGACTGGTAAAGACATTGGACACGGCTGCAGTTTTTATGCCTTCTGGGCATTTGTATCTAGTTGTGACATTTTTGTTTGCCCACAAGGTTTTTTTATTATAAGATTGCCTTTGATTGTTTTGCCTTTGATAATAAGATATATTTTGTAATTGTGAAATTTAAGATATCAAATAGCCTCATGTAGATCAATAGCCAGCCTCACATCAAATTACAACAAAAAAGGGGATAAGTTTTGCGAAGGTCCACTTGCAGCAAATTAGCTGAATCTAAAGGACAATGGGCACAAATGTATGGATGCTGCACCCACGTCCACCACAGCTTAAACTACATTTGTTTGAAAGGTATTATAGTCATGATCATCTGTGCCAAAGCGCATCAAATTCCATCCCGGGGATCCTTAGTTATTTTAAATTAAATAGGTAAGGAACGAACTTTAATGAAACAAGGGAATTAATTTAGTTAGTTAGTTCGACCTTACATAGGTGGCTCAGGTATTATGGGAGTACTTCAAAGGGTGCAAGGACACCCTATGCTATTCTGCCGCGCTAGAGTAAATCCAAAAATCCCCGCATGGGTTGGGGTTTTCAAACATTCTGTTCGTTATAGTAAATTATCTTCTATGTGAAACGGAGCGACCACAAATCACACAAACTTGTTCACGCTTCGGAGAAAACATGATTCCATTTCATCCATACTAATTGGCAAAACCGATAATCGTGTTCCAATGTCCAAAGCGTGTTAGATAAAAATCAATCAAGTGACAGGACAGGACAGACAGTAAGACGAGTCGACTATTTGCAACTGCAAGTCCTTCAACCCCCGTAAACCGTTTTAAGGTGCCTCAGTAAGTGCAAGCGCAGGCTGGTCGGCAGGCTTTGTCGTATATCTGGTTGTATAGTACGATATGGATCACTACCAGGATATGTTTTTACGATGTCATAATAAAAAAGGCTAGCTTTTCATAGATCTATTGATTCATACTAATTACATTGTTGGCGGAGCTGGGTTTGTTTTGCCCATTGTCCTTTAATTCATATATGATTTAGCAAAATTGCTACAAGTGGATCTAAGTGAAGAAGACAGATAACACAAATACCATTATTCAAAGCCGTTGCAGGAAACTATTATGAAATATAATTTGTAAAAGGATAAAATACCACTACCTAGGGTATGCTGAAGTGGGTACGACGAGCAGGAGGGCGAAGAGAGCGCAGGACGCCAGAATGCAAGTTGCTCGCACCATCCTGGAACCAAGGTAAGTTTTATATTTTCATTAGTGTATTATTATGACTATTCTCAATAAATATGATATTCCTCGGTTTTATTATCTCGGTCATTAAACAAACTTTGACTAAACATTTACTACTAGTTTTATTATTTCGAGCTCCTCCGTGCTTCGGAAGGCACGTTAAGCAGTTGGTCCTGGCTGCATCTGCGGTCGTTAGCACCTACCAATCCGCATTGGGCCCGCGTGATAGAGCATGACCGGACCTCCCTATTCCATCCATTGGGAAGGCCTGTGCCCCAGGAGTGGGGACATTAAGAGGCTGATGATGATGACATTCCGTTATCATTTAATATGTAGTCGAAGTCATTATTGGCGATCGATGTATCACTTGATATTGAAATTAATGAGTAAAAGCGTCTTGGTTAGCACATTCATCCTGTGGCCGTTGAAGTTAAGCAAGAGGGATAGGGCATAGTGGATTTTTCGCTCGAATTGGAGCGCCCGGAGGGGAAGTAACCTTCACCTTACAGAGGATCACAGTAAAATAACACTACTTAATGATCACCATCATTGTTATGTTTCTAAATAAATAAATATTTCCAACACTCATACCAATTAGCCTAGCCTCAAAGTAAGCACTGTAAGGCTTGTGATAGGGGATACTAGGGTAACGGATAGAATACATATACAGTACATATATAAGTATATTTATAGCGAAATTCATATTAAACATCCATGACTGGAGTACAAATGGTCGTATTCATCACACAAACATCTGCCCCCACCGGGATTCGAACCCGGGACCTCTCGAGCTGGCGATACCATTAAACCCGGCGTACAAACCACTCGACCACGGAAGTCGTCAAGAAGAAGGTTTCTGTCGGTAAGAGGCTCTAGGGCTCCACGGGAGGGTCAGAGTAGCAACACGTGATATTTTTTTGGTATCGCAAGCGTAATAACCTATTAAGGTTATGGTAGCCGCTTCAGGAGGGCCATACGCTTATTTGCCACTCTTTTAACATAAAAAAGCTACTTAACCAGTGACTAGATGAGTGGCAAACAATTAGTTATCTTGAGCCAATAGCCATTGCTATACAAGACTTGTTTAGACGTTGATCCTGGCTTTGCCTACACGCGTTAGCACTCACCACTCCACACTAGGCCTAGGCCTGTATGGTGGGTTATATTTAACCCGTTCTCTTTTTTGATTCCGGCATGTGCCTCCAAATCTATATAGAAATGGCAATTGGGTAGTTTCCTGTTATAAATCAACCTTAGAAAATTTTCCAAATTGAAATTTAAAACTATGGTGAATAAAGAGTAATTCGTGAAAATAGTTTGAGAGTCAAATGAGATTATTAATTGTAACTCACGCAATGCGACCTATCTGGGCTGCATTTGAAATCTTTTGGGGAGATGGTCGATCAGCAATACATTTTATGAGAAAGCACTAACACAGGTGGTCGGCCGAGCGTAATATTGACAGGTCTTGATAAGGATTAATTAACAAATTCGTCCTCTGTGGACGATACCAGCTACATGTCTGATATGTTACGGTAGCATGACTTTGTCGAGATTGTTCCTGCCTACACTTCAAAAACTAATATTTATATATTTGTACATAAAATCAGAATAAAGTTTAATACGCTTGGAGCAAGTTTTCCAATTGTTTCGTATTGAAAATAAAAACATTTCATATCCTAAAAAAACACTTTCAAGCAGAGTTCTGTACCATAACCACACCACCTACAAGGTTAAAAGCATACGAAATCTAGCACATCTGGCCAAGTAAAAATGCTTCTTGTAAGATTGTCTTTTATAATTTAATAGTAGGAGAGCCCAAGAGAGGATTTTAGGATTTACTCGAGCGCGGCAGAAAAACATAAATAAAACTTGTCAGATATCAAGAAGGAATGTTACGTGAACCCTCCTTCTAGGTCCTACTCAAAAGACTGACGATTTGGACGCGACAAAACAGCCGATTGTTGTTTTTTTAGCTGCTCAAGTTTACATTACATTCGACCCTATATACAGGGCTCAGGTTTGGTAGGAGTACTTCAAAAAGTGCAAGGCATAAGAGGACTTATGTTGTTCTGCCGCTCTCGAGTAAATCCCAAAATTCCCGCTTGGGCTACCCTACTATTACCTAGATTTTCTTTTATTTTTATAGCGCCAATAAAACCCATCCATATCATTGTTAATGTTCTGGTAACCTCAAAACACATAATTTTAGCTAGATTTAAACTATGAATGCATGCTTATAATTTACGACACCTACACGTTATACAGTAGCTCAGTTTTTTGAAACTTTACCGGAGATGGAGACATAGACCAAAAAAAAACATTTAGGTCCTAGCACCAGAATATCTTGCAAATTCAATTTGATGAAACAAGAAAGTACGTTCCAAATATATGAATTATTATTTATTTAATTATGGAATTCGAAAGTTACAATGACACACCAGCACATTTAAAATTCTTTATTGTTAGGTCCTATAAGTCCAAAAAAAAAAAAAAAATCGTTTTTGTTTATCAATCATGTCTAAGATTTAAACAATAAGATTTTTTTTTATTAAGGCATCACTGTTACTCTAAATAGGTGTAAGTACGTCACAAATTATATTTTTTCTTACATTTCTAAATTACATTAACCTTGACTTACAAATTATATTATGCAATTCAACGGATGGTTAGTCATATCTACACTATTTAATTAACGGCTTTGGGCAAGGTTTAGGCTATTATTCGTTGCGTATACAGGAAATATCATTATAATTACAACTTGTTAATGTTTTCGGCTTAATTACAATCTAGCTAAGATTTATATTCTACTACAAAAATGCTTCATCTGATACTATAACAAAGGAATGAAACTGCGAAATGCTTCATAACAGCTAAACAATTTGTGTCAAGGTACGATTATTGTATAATAATTTTACACTTGAACAAACCGATACTTGTAAATGTATAAGTAATTATAATATAATCGGAATTTGAAACTAATTGTTTTAATGTAAGGAATTGCCAACTATTCTACTTCATTAACTCATCTTTTATTAATACAAAACATTGAGCGCTGAAAACAAGACCAGACATTAAATTCAGATTTATATATTTTTTTTATTAAATGAATGTGTATGCGAACATAACTATAATCGAATTATATAAAATATTACTCATTTTTAATAGTTGTTCAGTTTCTGGAATCACAAATCTGACGCGCTTTCCTAACAAAATGTACATGTCACAAAAAAACTAAGGAGTACGTAAACACAAAATTTGCTCCCCTAGTCATTTAGAAACAACTTGTAACATTGTAACATAGCCTGCTATTAGTGTAGGTACGTAGAAACAGCCTCGTTAAGCCTTTGGTTGTCACCTAATACTGAAGCTTCGTTTGAGGCTTTGGCGAAGGCTATGTCTAACTTACAGAGGTACGTCCCAGCTTCGCGTACTGTGTGATTTGCAAGAAAGTTTTCACAGCTTGTTCATTTCAACGTGACGAAGTATATACTACATTGTTGTTACGACGTAGGCAGTATATATATATGTTTTTACCTACTTTTGTGACAAAACTATATTTATATGTTTTATTAGCTGACCCAGCGAACTTCGTACCGCCATAAAGATAGGGGCTGGTGGTAGAAGCGAAAATTTAGGGTTCTATGCATTTTTAATACCACATTATAAAAAAAAAATGTCCAAAAAAAAATTTGCGGTGTGTAATGTAGTGTTCTATCAATTTCCTGGGATAACATTCATCCTAACCCATATGAGAACACTACGTTACAATAAATACCCAATAGTTTGAATTTTGGCGCGAAGCCGCATTGTAGGTTTCAGAACACTACGTTACAGGTGGACAACCATTATCACTTAAGGATATAAAAAATAGATAGTAGCCCATTCTCAGACCCGCGGAATACGCATATAAAATTTCATAAAAATCGGTCAGGCCGTTTCGGAGGAGTATGGTAACTAAAATTGTGACACGAGAATTTTATATACAAGATGTTAAAATGGCGCAGGTGGCTAGCGCGTTCGGCTGCGATCGTTGAACTTAAGCAACTTTCGCAGTGGTCGGTCATTGGATGGGTGACCAAAAATTACTACCTCGAGCTCCTCCGTGCTTCGGAAGGCACGTGAAGCCGTTGGTCCGGGCTGCATCTGCAGTCGTTAGCACCCACCAATCTGCACTGGGCCCGCGTGGTGGGTCATGGCCCAATCTCCCTATTCCATCCATAGGGAAGGCCTGTGCCCCAGCAGTGGGGACATTAATAGGCTGATGATGATGATGATGAATTTACTTAATATTGTTTTTAAAAAATGTCACAAAAGAGAAAAAAGCAATAAAATCAAACAAGGACTAAAATATACTTTATGAATGTTTTGTAAGGAACTAATACAATTATACAGGGAATGCTGCGTAAAACATAGTTAACGTTAATTGTACTCTAATTAATGTGAGGTTTCTTTATGCGTCATGAAACAGCCGTACGTACCGCTGACATTCAAACGTAGTTCGGTAACATCAAAGAAGTTTACCAATTACACTTTCTGAACACAGAGCGACTAAAACAATAACCGAACTATGTACCTGAATATTTATACAACCTTGCCAATCTAATATATTAGTAAAAGAATGTTTCCAAAAGAATAAAGACATAAAAACGTAATATGTCTTTTTTGCAGTCTCTAATATGGGTTGTTTCATTTTCCATTTCCGTACTTATCCCAAACTAGTATTCCTAATTCAACCTACAATGTTATTTAAATATTTTTTTTCTTGTAAGCAGGTAGTTAGTGTTTTTATAACTAATTGAATATTTAGTACAGAATAGTCTGCGCAAACAGGCCTTCTGACGATGGACATTTTATTACAGAAATTCATTAAGATCTAGGGAAAACATTTCAGAGTATAAAATACATACATGACATTAGTTGGAATTATTTTTTCAATTCTTTTTGTGTTTGGGTATGCAGTATTAATTCGTCTCTAGCATGCCATGAATAAAA